CTTGTCGCTCTCGACTACGTCCCAGGGGCTCGCAAACTTTTTGGTATCGTTACCTCCGGCTGAGTTTGGTATCGTTACCTCCGGCAGAGTTGTGATAGATTACTATTACCCCTAGCTCATTTCTCTTCCGTTATGGGACGTTAAAGGGGGGAAATATTGAACGCTGAATACTTAAAGCATTTCATATGAGAAAACAATTCTGCAGAAAAAAAAATATTTTTTGGACAAAAAAGTATATATATGTTTATATATGTACACACACACACACACACACACACATATATATATCCCTCTTTTTACTTTTTTTAAAATATTTAGGTTGTCAATTATCACCCCATTTTACATTAAAATGAAGCAACTTCAACTCAAGCGTAACATGACAATGATCGAAGGGCGAAACACAAACAGAATTATAATTTAATACATATATTAATTTATCTATTTATCAATCAATCTATTCATTATCAAAGATCCATTTACTTTAAGGAACTCTTAGGATGCGTTTACACCAAGCGAGTCAAGGCGAGATGAGTCAAAATGAGGCGAATTATACGAGTCCTTTTGAGACTTACACCAAGGTCTATATAAGGACTTATTTAGACCTGGTTTACAGAGCGGGAGGCGAGGTGAGTCGAATCGGCGCCGTGACCCAACTGATCTTACTGTGGATAGATCAGTATCTCTCGCCGAAGTCATTGTATTGCCGTGGATTCATCGCTGTAGACGTAAAAGGCGAACGCGAAAACCGATTCGTGGATTAGCCATCAAGAGACCCGATTTTGGAAACGATAATTTATTCCCTAACTTGCTAAACCACCCAGAAAAAAACATTATTTTGGGGGGGACGAGAAGTGAACATTCAAAGAAAAGCATTTGCGTCTTTCGTAAATTCACTGAACATAACGATTTCACTTACAATGCAAGAGATGACGCCCAAGACACAATCATTCAAATCCAGGCCCGGTAGCAACAAGAAACACGTGGCCTACAGAAGACAATATGGAAGTTCGTGGTATATTGAGGAAATGTTTTGTATTTTCAACATAAGAGTTCTCTAATGGCAAGATCGAGTGATCTGGGAATATATATTCATGGTTTTAGGCCTATTGTATAAATTACTGTGAATAAAACCTCTTTTTGCCTGTGTTATTCATTGGAGTAAAAATCATTACGATCTCGGTGGCTGTGGTCACTGGGATCATATATTGCCGGGCGCTCTTGCAATAAATTTATCAGAGACTTCAGTTGCATGGGGTTCACGGTTCACACCACGGCTGCCTCGCTGCGACTAAGGCCCGTACCTTTAAAACCTTTCGCCAGGGGTGGCATTCGATTTCGCCGGGCGATCGGGAATTTCGTACTAATAAAAGCATGGCAAGTGTTCGCCAGTTCGCCAAGGCTGGCATAAGATCGTATTGGAACAGCCTGGCGAAGCGAAGTCACGAGAGCCCCTCCCTTTCCATTTTCTTGCTTTCAGATTATAAATCATTAATATATTTGTGTATGATATGACATAGGAATCACATTGCAATTTCAAAATATCTGAAAATCACAATTTATTACGTATATACGTAGTTTTTTCAAGACCATCAATGTTCCAGTCGAGAGCTAAGAACAGCCGTGCCCCCCCCCCCTCCACCGAGATGAGTTATTAGGATTAAGTTGTTATTTTGTTACCATAAGTGTTTTGATGTTGGCATGTTTATTACGGGCTATAGAAAAATGGTTGTCATACTCCACCGCTCTATAATGAGGCGTGTCTAACCTAACCTAACCCTTGTAGCCCTACAGTTCACTATTTTATATCGGTTAGGTATAGTAAAATGATTAATTTTTAACTCCTTTGTATAAAGTGAGGCTATTACGGAGATAACATTATGTTAGGTAAATAATAATATAAGGTAATATGATATAGGTAAGGTAAAGTCAGGTAATATAACGTAATATGATAAAAAAAATCCCTGCTGCCATCCCTTTCGTTCGCCCGCCTTGGCGACCGTTGGGTTTTAAAGTAAGGCCTCCCTCACTCAGATGCTGCGCCAGGCGATCGCCAGCATGAGCAAAAGGTTTAAAATTACGGGCCTTAGAAAACGCTTCGTTGCCTCCAATGAGACAGAGGACTCCAGACTAAGACCCTTCGGACCAAGATCTAGAGGAGTAAGGTCTCTCCGTTCCAACATTCCCTCTTCCCGCAGGTTCCCACTGGCCAAGGGCGCAGATACAATAGTTTGCCCTGAGAGAGACCCGGTTTCTTTAATAGGATTGAAAGCAGTGAACTGAGCATTACTACGACGTGAAACGTTGGTCGATGCCTGGCCTTCCTAATTGTTTAGCTTGTCGTTATACATGCATACATGTATATGTATATCGTGCGAAAGCGCCCCCCCATATATATGTATATATGTATATATATATATATATAATTATTATGTATGTATACATATATATATATATATATGTATATGTATACATATATAGTATGTGTATACACACACATATATATACCTATATATATGTATATGTTTACATATACATATATATATATATATATATATATATATATATATATATATATATATTATATATAACACACACACACACACACACACACACACACACACACACACACATATATATATACATATACTATATAATATATATATATATATATATATATATATATATATATTATTTATATATATATATGTATACATACATACATACACACACACACACACACACACACACATATATATATATATATATATATATATATATATATATATATATATATACATATATATATATATACATATATGCACACACACACACACACATATATCTACACATATACATATGTGTGTGTACATATACATATATATACACCCAGGGGCGCCGTCAATCGGCCAGGGCATCGTGGCAAAGAACAGGTTCGGGCCTCTGGTTCACTTCCTTTTTAGGTGGGAAACGCCTTTTTTCCCTTAAACGTTTATGTTAAAATAAATTGTATGTTACTCGAACTTACAATCAACAATTTGCAATCAAGAATATGTTACTAATATCACATAACTTGAAAAATATCGTTAGTTTGGCAGAAGATTGAGGACATTTTATGAAACACTGCCTTATTTTTAATCTTAATATTTACTGCTGTTGTAGTGTACCCTGAGGTCCACCAGGCTCCGAGTTTATACATACGGAAATATCTAACATGAAAATATACAAATACCTCCTTAACTTCCATTCTCTGTTAAGAATCGCAATTCATTTTCTTTTTATTTTGGGGTACTATTTTATTTACTCGCTGAGTTTTGTTTCTTACTATAAATACATTTTTTTTATCAATTATCTCAGATGTTTTTTTTAAAGGTACTTAGCCTTGCCACATTTCACCGCTTTTATTTTTAGTATCTCATTTCACTTTATTTTACCTTTGAAAGATATGCCCCCGAATTTCGCGTGGGCCAATCAGGTTAACGGACGTGTAGCTCCAGCCAATCAGAGCCATTCTAGGTCGTGCCCCCTGTGTGTGATTTTCAGGGGCGCGAGACTACACGCTCACGCCCACGACTGGCTGGACGCACGCTCCCGTAGACACCCCCCCCCTCGAATTCGTAAATGTAATCAAAAGCTAAGTATTCTCTGTATTTTGTGGTGGTTTTGGTATAAGCACGAAAGAAACAGTCACCGAACATTTTCTTGTGGCACGAGTGATGTATGTGGAATATAATTAATAAATTGTTAAACGGCAATTAAGCATGATAAACCTATAGCAGTCTAGCCAGTCACCCTTTTTTTAAATATAAAGATAATTTCCTGCACATCTACTAATTCTTTTTATGATAAAATAAGATACGTATACGCATGAACATATTAATCTATATATTAAGCATGAGCACTTAAACTATTGAGTACAGAAAAATGGATAATGGAAATTAAACTAAATGAATGAAAATGGAAATGAGTGGATAACCTAATGTGATAGAATAATATATCATGATAACCAGTCGAAAACGGTGGTGAACACAAGAGGCCCAGCTACTTCAGTTTCAACGCAGACTATTATTTTATTCGCGTGTCGGCTCACGACCAGACGGGACGCTACAGCTGTAACACTGTTTTAGATATATCCTGTAAATTTGCTGTTAGTTGTTTTGGCTCAAATAGGCGACTACTGTAATTTTTTCTTCTTCTCTCTCTTCTCTCTCTCTCTCTCTCTCTCTCTCTCTCTCTCTCTCTCTCTCTCTCTCTCTCTATATATATATATATATATATATATATATCATATGTGTGTGTGTGTGTGTGTGTGTGCAGAAACGTATACATAAAATGAAAGGAAAACATCCTAATAAGATATAAAATAAAATTTGTTTCAAACTCTTAACGAGTTTCTCCTCACTCCCTTTCCTAGACACCATGATCCACAGAAGACCAGATGGTCCGATATTTTCCGTGTACAGAAAAACCCACCAATAAAGATGATTTCATGCATTCTTTTTCTGCCCATAGCAAAAGGACCAAAGAAGGCGTGGTCATTGCCTCCTCCTCCGAGCCCTCAGAATATTCAGCCCTGAGTTCTTGGAGGAAGAAATGCAACACGTCTGCGACACTTCCCTACACCTCCATTATCCTCGCCCCATGCTCACCCACCTCCGACGCAAGGCCGAGAAGATAACGGGCAAACCGGAGGTGAGACACACAGAACAAGACAGAATAATCATCCATCATTCGGAATTAAAGTATGGCTCTGGTGGGCCACACTTTAAAGATGGCTACGCCTTCGGGCAAGAAGATCGGAGATATTGTAAGAGCAAAGAGTTCAAACCATAACAGACCCCTCGGCCAGGTGAACAGCATACCCTATGGTGGTTGTGATTAAGTCTACATATATAAAGTATTTGCTTGTCAAGGAAGATTCAACCTTTCTCTTTCGTATATATGAGAATTTTATGATGTCGCAGTGTTCGATGTTTAACCTGAGGTAGCCATAAAGTCGTAGTCAGAGGTTTAAAGCATCACGTTATATATATATGTGTGTGTGTGCTGTGTGTGTGTGTGTGTGTATGTATGTGTGTATGTATGTATGTATGTGTGTATGTATATATACATACATACATATATATATAATATATATATATACATATATATACGGCCAGTATCTCCCCCCTCCCCGCCAAAGCTACACAGAAGGCGAATTACGTTGACATTCCATCCGTCAACTGCACCGAAAAGACCTTTTGCAGACAACGCCCACGCAGTATCTCCCACCATCCTTCGGGAAGACCCATGCATACGTTTTGTAAGAAAGCAGCAGCTGTTGACAGCGCTGCGTCGACCCGCATCCTGCGCGAAGTAACGAGGGATGAGAGAGTAGTTAAATGTCAGTAAACAGTATTTATAAAAAAAATAACCGCCAAAGTGTTTGTTCGTTGATTGGTCGAGGACTCCCTTTGGTGACCGCGCGCCCCAGTTGCTTAGTTTTGTTTTCTTTCCTTTTCTCGGACTTGATGGCCAGCCTGTATGTCACGAACATTCCTTAATCTTGAATGATAATTTTCGGGAATCTTTGTGGTGTGTGTGTGTGTGTGTGTGTGTGTGTGTGTGTGTGTGTGTGTGTGTGTGTGTGTGTGTGTGTGTGTGTGTGTGTGTGTGTGTGTGTGTGTGTGCGTGTGCGTGTGTGTGCGTGTGCGTGTGCGTGTGCGTGCGTGTGCGTGTGCGTGTGTGAGTGTGTCGCGTGCGCGTGTATGTAGGCTAATATCCTATTTTTTTTTTAATCCAGAGTACTGAAAGGATCTTAGTCAAGGAAAAAATAATGTAAAATTAATAATAAAAAAAAAAACATCGCTTCACCTTAAGCACGAAGGAAATACTGTTTCCTTATATGTTATCCTCTCGGAATTCTATAAAATTGTGCCCTAATCTGAGGATCCTCGTGCAGAAAGATTCTTCTTATTGGCTTCCAACAACCGGACTTCAAATAGATAAGTTAGCTGATGGCTTCAGAGGTTAATCAATGATACAGAAATGGCACTTACAACTGCCTATGCTAAAGTCCATTTTTGTCAACGGAAAACGTTAAAGAAACTTCTCTTAATTGCTATAGTTTAAAAATCTATTGACGCATATATACGAAATATATTTTCTTGTGCCAACCAGCAATTAACAATTTGCAATCATACAATACGAAATTATTATACGATTTGATAGCTACTGGCGTTCCCAGGTAAGCGATCACTTACTAAAACAGCGTTTCTAGGCTGTCAGGCCTCGTAGACGGATTGGTCTGGCAGCAGGAGCCATGTCCTCAGTCAACAAGAGTATTTGAAGGTGTCGGTACCTATGCAGGGATGTTACACATATTCAAGGTATTGATATTGTCATTTTTGCTACATGGAAGTAACGCTACCTAGTGACTTGGAGTTGCGTCTCGAGGCCTTTTGTAACAAATTCCTACCCTGGATCATGGGGCACAGTTGGCAGACCATGTGTCCAACGAACGACTACACCGTGAGGCGGGCACGGGACCTATTAATTGCCTAATCTGTGACGGCCAACTCAGACTACACGGGCACCTATCGCGTTTCCCTTTGCGAGACAATCCTGCGTAGAGGCCCGTGGGAAGACCAGGAATCCGTAGCTTGGGCAGCTCGACCAGACCTGTCATGAAGAGCTAAATAAGGGCCGAGGACCTATTTGCAGTTCGCCATGAGGGATCCCCAACGATGGAAACGAAGAGTGGATGCGGCCAAGGACTATATAACTACTTATATAGACCTTGGATGCGGCTATGCGCCCCCGTCACGTCGGCTCTCTTCGTTGGTGAACACATTTTCTGTTCCCACTTATTTCAGGGCAAACTTTAAAAAAATGCGTCGCCTGATAGCAACCCATTTTTGGTGTAAGTGCATACCACACCCTATAAGCCTTGTATAAATCGAGTCTAAGAACATTGGTGACTGCCCTCCTCTTGAACTCATCTATTCTCGTAACCCATGCCGCTGTTTCAGGGCTGTGGCGGTGTGTCTTTGACGTTTTGAAGTGCGTGTAACAAGACACTCGTACGCGACAGCATCCTAGAAATACGAGTTTCCACTGTCCCCTCAAGTTTAAATTTCTCTAAGCTACGTAAGTCCATTGTGGTATTATTGCAAATAATATAAACCCGGGCTCATCTACTAAGCCTCCGTTCTACCAAGAAAAACTTTGACATATATTACACACGCACGCACACACACACACACACACACACACACACACACACACACACACACACACACACACACACACACACACACACACACACACACACACACACACACACACACACACACACACACACTTCTTATCTTTATTTTCCTATGGATTACGTTTCACACATCTCACCTCTAACTGAAGAATGCACAGCTTGTAGATCAGGAAATTACACACCGAACACGCCCGGCCTCTAAACGTTCTTTTGAGCTTCGGGATACGACTGGAAGCATTTCGAGCGACGATGCC